ACCATTGGTTTTTTAATTTTATCACGGGGACAAAATTTTTGGATTTTCCCCCCCCCGGGGAAAGTTTTCCCCCCGCCCCCCACAACCACAAAACTTTTAAATGCCCCAAAAAAAATTTCCCCCTTTCGAAATTGGGGAAAATATTTCCCAAAGCTCAAAGGCCACAACCCAAAAACAAAAACGGGGAGAAAAGCCAGCCCGTGGTCCCCCAAATCCCCCCCAGAAAAACTCGTAAAAAAAAATCTTAAAAAAAAAATTTAACTAAAAGTCTACTGAAAATCCAGAGTACCGTCCCCCCAAACCCCAGAAAAAAATCCCCCCCCCCCCTCGGAGTCCCCCCCCAGCCAAAACATACTTCCCCCCCCCCCAAACCCCCCATTTCCCCAACTTCCCCCTTCCCCCCCCCAAACCGGGACTTCCCCCCTTTCCCCCCAAGTAATAGCATTCCCCCCCAAAAAACACCGCAAAAAAAACCCCCAAACCCCGAATCATGGTTTTTTTTCTTTGCCACAGAAAAAAGGAAAAAATTTTTTCGTTCCCCCAACCCAACCCGAGCCCTGAAACCACCGGGTCCCCCACCCCGCGAAAAGAAACAGGGCCCCTGTGTCCCCCCAGACACAAACACTAAAACCCCACGATGGGAAAAACCCCAGAGAAAAAGGGGAAAACTTTTTTTTTTTAAAAAACCCGATTCCTGTGGGGGCCAGTTGGGGGCCTTTAGTTTTGCAAAGGGGCGTGGGGGGCATTTTTTTTCACGTGCGACAAACCAGGGGGAAAAAGGGAAAAAAAAGCAAACTCACGAACGTTTTTTTCCCCAAGTTTTTGCCGGGGGAGACTGTTTGGTGGACTTTTCAAAAAACCACCCACAATTGGGGATTTTTTAAAAATTTTTTTCCCCATGTCCGTTTGAATATTAGCCATTTTTTGGGAAAATTTTTTTTTGGATCCTTTTTTTTAAGGGTTGGCACGGACCCCATCGTAGGGAAAACCGGGAACTTAATTTAAAAATTTAAATTGAAACTCCCCCTTTTTTGATTTTAGAATTTTCCCCCGTTTTAAGCTAAAATTAGGGCCCCATTCCCCTGGCTGGAAAAACAAATTTTTTTGGAAAGGGTTACTTTTTTTTTTGGCCCAAAAAATGCCCAAAGCCCAGGATCAAAAAAATTTTTTTAATTTTAATTTTAATTTATTGAATTTAGAGGGGAAAAAAGAAAGGTTTGGGGGATTCCTAGGGCCAGTTTTTTTTTTTTAAAATTTTTCCCCCCCCCCACAAATTTTTTTTCGACCCAATAAACTATTTTCTTTAAACCCGATACTTTTTCCCCCCGTCCCCCCTTTGCCCGGAAGTTAAACTTTTAAAAAATTAATTTTTTTATTGAGACATTTTAAAAAATTTTTTTTCTCAGGTTTTTTAAAAAAAGGTTTTTTATTTTTTTTTACGAGGGTTTTCCGTAAAAGGCCCCTTCGTGGGGGTTAAATTTTTACTATTCCCTAATTTAAAATTAAAAAAAAAAAATTTGTTTTTTTTCCCTTAAAATGAAAACTGGGACTTTGGTTTTTTCCCTACAAATAATCGCTGGGAAAAAAAATTAAAAAAAAACTGTAAGGTAAAAGATTAAAAGGGAAGGGAAATTTCCCCCCCCCCCAGTAACAATCCCCAAATTTCAGGGAGGTTTTTTGTTAAGAATGTCCCCCCGTTGGAAGGTTTTGGGGAGAAAAAAAACCCCCCGGGTTTTTTTTTAAAAATGGGGAAAAAAACCCCCCCCCGGGGAAACCCCTTACGTCAACCCCCCCCGGGCCCAAAAAAACCCCTTTTCCCCCTTTTTTGGGCCCCCCAGACGGGGGTGTTGAGGGGGAAATGATGGAAAAAACTGGGAAAGTGGGGGGGTTTTTTCCCGGAGATTTTTTTTTAAAAAGTAAGCCTGGAGGTTTTTTCTCCCTGGTTTTTTGTTTTTGGGGTTTCTTTTAAGAGGCAAATTTCACAGCTCTGGTTTTAAAATTTTACATTTTTTTCTCAGAATTTCCAAAAAAACAAATTTTTTTCACAAATTGGGGTTTTTTACATACTTAAAAAGTAAAAGGGTTAAGATCGAAAAAAACGGAGTGAATTTCCAAAGTCCACCTGGCCCCCCGGGGAAAAACACAAAAACGAAACTTTGTCCCCCCAAAATTTCCATCAAGTGGGAAAAAAAAAGAAATTTGTAACGTCCCCTTCCCCCCCCCTTCCAATTTTTTGGGGCCAACCCCGAGCTTTTTTGAGAAAAAAATTTTTTAAAAATTTTTGGTTTTTTGGCAAAAAAAAAGACTGGATAATTAGACACATGGGGCGTCCCCCTATGACGAAAAAAAACAAACCCAAAAAATTGGTTTAACAACATAATCCCGAAGGGGTACGTTTTTTTTTGGGGTCTTTTTATGCCAAAATGTTAAAAACTTTGGGGCCCCCTTTGTAAAAAATTTTAATTAGGTTTTTTTCCATCCCCCAGAATTTTTTTTTTATATTCCCCAAAAATGAAATTTTAAATAAGATCCCTCCGTTTTTTTTTTCTAGCACAGGGGGTTTTTTTTTTAGGAAAAGAACTTGGGGAATTTTTCTGTCAGAAAATGCCCTTTTTTTAAAAAACAACCCCCTTTTTTTTTTTTAAAAAAGGTAGGGGGAAAAAATTTGAAAAGAACAAAACCTTTTAAAAAAAAAAAACTATGAGAACATTTTTTAAACGAAAAACCCACATTTTGAAAAAAATATAAATTTCGCATTTCCTCAACAAAATCTAAAAGAACAAAAAAAAAAAAAAATCCGAAAAAAAAACCATGATTTTTCCCCCCAAAAAACCCCAAAAAAAAAATAAAAAAAGAGGAAAAACCCAAAAAAAAAAAAACCCCCATAAAAAATTTAAAAAATTACTTTTTTTTTTAATACAAAATTAAAAAAAATTATTTTTTTAAAAAAATGAAAAAAATAAAAAAGAAAAAAATTTTTTTTTTCCCCCTTTGGGGAAAAAAAAAATCAATTCTACGATTTAAAAAAAACCCCCCAAACAAAAATTGGCAACGGGGAAAAAAAAAAAAATAATGAATTTTTTATTTTTTTAAAAAAACATTTAAAAATTTTTTTATATATTTTAAAAAAACCCAATTTTTTTTAAAGTGGGGAATTTTTTTTTTGTTTTTTTAAAAAATGTAAAAAAATAGCCAAAAATCCCAAAAAAAGCGTTTGCCCCGTAAAAAATCCCAAAATTTTTTTGTAAAAATTAAACAAAAGCCCAAATTTTTTAAACTTTACACTAAAAATTAAATGAATTTTTACCCCAAAAAAAAAAGAAAATTTTCCCCCAAAAAAAGTAAAAACCCCTTTTTTAAACAGAAAAAAAGGGGAAATTTTTTTTAACAAAAGCAAAATTTTTTTTAACAAAACGTAAATGGCGGGGTTTTTTGAAAACAAAAACTCTTCTTTTCTCAAATTTTTAACGATATCGCCAATCTTTAGTCGGGGAAAAAAAATTTATCCCATTTTCCCCCTTTTCTTCCCGCAAAGCATCGTTTTTGCGTCCCCCCCCCGTTTTTGAACGGGGGAACCCCTGCTTTTTTTGTTTACAGTGAGGGTTAAAATTGGCTCCCCCCGAAAAAAAAGAAAACCAAATATAGATTCCCAAAACCATTCTTAGTTTTTTTTTTCCCTTTTAAAAAAAATGTGCTTAAAAAAGTTTTTGGGGGGGGGGTTAAAAAAATAAAAATGGGGCCCCCCCCCTAAAATTAAATGAAAAAGTTTTACATTTGATAGAATTTTTTTTTACCTTCAATTTTCTTTTAAAAAGTTTTCTCTAAACAAAATTTTCCACCATAAGAGAGGTTCCCAAAAAAAATTTTTTATGTTTTTTTGCACTTAGAAAAACACTCGGTAGCGAAAAAATTTTTAAATTTTGGGGTTTTTTTTAAAAAAAAAACTTGGCCCACAGAACAATAAGTTCCCCAATGAAAAAATTAATGAAGTTTAAAAAAAAACAAATTCTAATATTAAAAAAGATTTTTTAACCTAACCCCCCCCCGAATTTAATAAAACCACGAAAAAACCAAGGAAGGTTTAGCTTTTTTTCCAATTTTTTTTGGGCAAATTTTTGGCTAAATTTGCCATACCCCCACCCTCCCATTTTCTTCTGTTAACTGAAGTCCCCCCAAAACCAAGTACTCGAGATTTTTTGGGAAGGATCCCCCAATTTTAAAAGTTTTAAAAACAAACCAGGTAATTTAAAAAAAACCCTCATCCCAAAGGAAAAAACCGTGCCCCTCCCAAATAGCTTGAAAAAGTGTTGTAAAAAAACAATTGAAAAAATCAATTTTTTTTAAAAATACACCTTTTTAAACCAACCTTTTTTGGGGGCCAGTGGGCCCCAAAAATTTTCCCCCTTGGGAAGGGGGGTGAGGGGAAAAAAAGAAGGAATTGGGGGAAAGAAAACCCCCCCAACCCCCCAAATTTCCAAAAAATTTTTGGTTTTTTCCCAAAAAAGGTTTGAAAAAAAAAATTCAAGAAAGTGTTTTTTCCAAACTTTTCCCCGTTGACGAAAAAATTTTTCTCCGTGTATTGCTGGGAAAAAAAAGCCATTGTTTTACGTAAAGGTAACAGGGTAAAATCATTTTATAAACTAGTGAGTAAATTGACCCCAAAGGGAGGGGGAAAATTTCCCCAAGGGGGTAATTTCAATTTCGACCATTTTTCTTTTTTTCCCCTTAACACTTCTATTAGCCCCCTGATCTTTAAAAAAATAAAAAAAACACCCCTTTGGGGGTGTACAAATTTCAAGCGTTAGTAAAAAATTCCCCTTTTACAATGTTTTTTTTCAAAAGTCCCCTGATGAAAGATTTTCCCGCCCAAAAAAACCCCCAAAAAATGGTTTTTTGAAAAAACCAAACAGGGGAGGAGAATAGCGGCTCCATGAAAAAAAAACCCAATTATTGATTTTTTTCTTGACAACTTTCAAAAAACGATCCAGTAAGTTTTTTCTTCATCCCTCCACTATCTTGGAAATGGTATAGTCAACTGTTTTGAAGCACTGGGAAATGTCCAGATATTCCAAGTGTTTAAGGGGTTTTAGTAGAGGGAGTGTAAATCCTTTACAGCGGAATAGATCGAGCAACTGAAATAAAATAGGTAATTATGCTTAATTTTAGGTAAGGATGAAGTAACTGAATCAAGATCTTCAATAACACTTCGAATTAATTGTTAAGAAACTTGTAATTAGGAATTAAAGGACATGTTGCAAGATGGTTAGATATTGATGGAGTACAGGATAAGTTTATAATCGATAAATAATGAATAACCTTCAATTTCTTGCAGTGCGTTGCAAGACACATCAAAAACTCATCATGAACAAAGTATTGGCAGTTTCTACATTTCAGCTCCAGAAGATTAGGAAGACTTTTCAGACTCTCAACTGCTACCTTTGAATCTATACTTCCATGGTTGAAGCCTGTCCATGACAAATCTAGTTTTGTAATGGCATGACTGTAATTTGAAGTGAGATTGACCAGAGTTTCTCCATTTATCTTTGTGTAATAAGGTTTGAAGTTCAACTCTTTGACAGCTGTTCTATCAGTCACCATCTTTTGAAACAATTGACAAACTTTAGCAACCTCAGCACGATGTCTAAAGTCTCCAATATAACTGATGATTATTTCTATAACTTCTGGTGGAAGGATATCAAAATAGTTTACTTTCGGTTCAGATTCACAAAACTGAGTTGCAGCTTCAGCAAGCTTTTCATCTTGTTTTGCAGCTTCTTTGTCCACAATTTTGAGACTTTTTAGCATCTTAGTGGGAATGGAGACTGAGACTGCTTTCTTTATACGCTTCATGAGATATTCAGATGCTGTAATGCCTTTGGTCCAAGGATGACCTACAAGTTCCACAGCATCTAGCTCATGGTAGTACTCAGCCAGTTTATCGTCAAATTCCAAACGCAACCTACAAGTAGCAATTGAGTTCTTGTCGAGTTTCGGTAACTTTGGAGTTGCTATAGTGTAAAGATGTTCACCTTTAAAACTGGCACCAGACCAAAGAACTTTCCAGCTTGACAAATGAGAGGTCCCCTCTGGAATTTCAGTTCCAAGATCTGATATTAATATTCTGACCAGCCCACCAGGACAGAATGTCTCATATACACGAACATCAGTAGGATAGACTGGAATATCAAATTCAAGTTCTATGAAATCTGAGGCTTGGAACCAGCTAGGTTGGTGTCCAATCGGTCTATAATGTTTATGAAAAGGTAATGCATTCCAATATTTCCCGTATGTTCTGAAAACAAGTGATGAGACATGGTCTCCATAGGTTGAACCATTTATATAGGAACCAGGAGTTCCAGTGACATTGCTTGCATCATAGGTACTGCTTCCTTCTGTGCCATATTCACTGCTATAGTCTGTTAAACGTGAAGCATACTGGTATTTTAACGTGACATCTTCACTCATTACTAAAACACTTTTAGTAATGAGTACTCATCATCTTGATAACAACAAAACTCATTATAAATCGATGACAGAATCACAATGTTGTGGTGGAGCGCCCAGCACCATGCCAAAAAGTCAGAATCATTACAAATATTTTAAACTTGACGAAATCCCCCCGGCAACAGGGACATAGAAGAAAAAACACTGCAAATCAACCTAATATTGACCCTCTGGCATGACCAATTTCAGCTCGCAAATGGAGTTGAAACCTCGCCATTTTTAGCAGGGCTGTAAAAAAAGGGCTATAGCATTCTTAGAATTTTGATTAAGGCTTTAAATTTTTTATAATTAACGTTGAAAGTGAAGTAAAATAGCCGTTAGAATAATGGCGTTATTTTAGCAAATGTTTAACCTGCGGTGTAAAAAAAGTTTGAGGGAACCTATGGCCCCAGGTAGGGCGGAATTTGGGGGTTTTTTT